ACGCTTAACCGACTGCGCCACCCAGGCGCCCCTATCTAATTTTTATAATATATCTCATCTTCTTACACCAAGACATTTTTTTTTAGATGGTATTATATTTATGGTGTTCATAGTGCTATGACTGGCAAGGAATAAGTAATCCAGCAATAGAAATAGGAATTTGAGAATCTAGTTTTTACATGATTTTTTAAAAAATAATCTGATACCCCATCAGTGGAAGTTCATGTGCATCTTCTTCCTGTCTTGTCTTTTTTCTAGAAATCCCTTTTCTGATACTTGATCTCTCTACTGGCTAACTTGTACTACTTGTAATGTACCCCGTTTCTCCTCCCCTTTCCCATATTCCTTTGAAATTCTGAATGTCCTTATCAAATCCCTTCTCTGTGAAACACCTGACTTATGCTAATTTATTTATTTTTTGTCTAACCTATAGCTTTTGGCATTTTGGCATTGCCACTCATTGCCACTCATTAGGGCATTTCTTATATATTGCATTTAATAGTTTTTATTTTTTCCTTCCTCCTTCCAAGAGAGAGCGGGAGCTGGGGAGAGGGAGAGTGAGAGTGAGAGGGAGCGCGAGAGAATCCCAAGCAGTCTCTGCGCTGTCAGCGCAGAGCCCTTCTCAGGGCTCGATCTTGTAACTGTGAAATCATGACTTGAGCCAAAATCAAGAGTCGGACGTTTAACTGACTGAGCCACCTGGACGCCTCCTTCCTGTTTCTGTTATTCTTTATTAAAACTTCCAGCTAGATTACAAGATGAGCAGGAACTACAACTTACTGTCTATTTGAAACCTTTTGGAGGATAACGAGTTATTGCCTTATACATAGTGGTGTTTAATAAGGAAACTTGGCTAAAGTGAACTTTACCTATCACTCTCTTCCTTATTCAGTTTTATACTTGAAGTTTTAATACTCTGGGTGTTGCCTCACCCTTGATGACATGTTTTATATTAAAAGGGGTTAAGCTAGTATACATATTATAGGTAAGACTAGATTAAGTCAGTTAGAAATGTTATAGAGACTGACAGTGTTAGAGGCTGACTTAGAAGTTCTCTTTATTTTATTCATTCTACAATGTATATTAACTTCTTACACTTGCACATTTCAGGAGTTGTCACAGCAGAAATGTTTAGACATATGCAGAACTCTGAAATAATTCGAAAAATGACTGAAGAGTTTGATGAGGTAACTTATCCTAAATGTTTTGATAATTTTATGCATGTTGATCTTGATTTACCCTTGAAAGTATTCTTAAATTCTGAGTGTTAGTGTTATGGATAACAGCTTTGGCATCAGATTTAATCAGATGATGAGATGTGATCTTGGGCAAGTTGTTATCTTGGCATCAGTTTCATGATCTGTAAAATGGGGCCAATAATACTTCTTTCATAAGGCTGTTGTAAAGATTTAACTCAGTAATGTTTGAAAAATTTGTTAGGATTTTACAATGCCTGGTATATAGTAAGAACTTAATAAATGGTAGCTTTTATTATTGTCAAAAAATTAAAACTTCAAGAAAGAATAAAACGTAGTGCCTAAGAACACACCTTGGAATATTGTTAAAGATAGATTCGGTCAATATTTGGGGAACAGGTAGCTTAGGCAAAAGACTATACAGTTGACCCTTGAACAGCGGGGGGATAAAGGATGCTAATCCTCCCCCGCCCCCAAACCACCATGGTCAAAAATAGGCATGTAACTTTGCCCCACCCCCCCTTAACTATTATAATAGCCTACTCTTCCCTGGAAGCTTTACCAGTGAACGGTCGATTAACAAACATTTGTATGTTATATACCATATTCTTATAATAAAGTAAGGTAGAGGAAAGAAAATGTTACTAAGAAAATAAATTTACAGTACTATACATATGTTATTGAAGAAAATCCATGTATAAGTGGACCCGTACAGTTCAAACCCATGTTGTTTAAGGGTCAGTTGTCTATACGTTATTATTTAGAATATCTTTTATGTTTCAAATATGAGTAATAAGAACAATACAAATAAAAAAATACTAGCTTAGACTTGAGTGAATTCTTTATCACAGTGATGTCTTTGAAGTATTGTTACCAATAAAGACAGATTTACTATAATGTAAGCTCCTTCAGGGCAGGGTTCACAGCTGCATTCCAGGACCAGCAGGTTTACTCTTCAAAACTTGTCGCTGTGGATTTTCAAGTAGAAAGTCTGGTCTAATTTGAGTTTTACTTGATCATTTTTTTTCTTGCTTACTGTGATGAAGGAGCTTTCAACTATCATTCTAAAAGATAGACAAGATTTGTTTAAAAAGGCTTTGATGATCACTAAGTGCTATTAATCAGTCTCCAAGTAGTTGAGAGGTAATTATGAGTAATGGTATTACAGCAGTCCCTCCCCGCCCCCCACTCCTTCCTTTATCCCCGGGGGATACATTCCAAGATCTCCAGTGGATGCCTGAAGCCACAAATAGTACCAGACCCTATATATTCTATATTTTTTCTATGTATACATACCTGTGATAAAGTTTAATTTATTAATTAGACAGAATAAGAGATTAACAATAACTAACAATAAAACAGAACAATTCTAACACTATACTGTAATAAAAGTTACATGATTGTAGTCTGTCTCTCTCAAAATATCTTGTGCTGTACTCACCCTTATGATGATGTGAGATGACAAAATTACCTACATGATGAGGTGAAGTGGGGTGAGTGACATAGGTGTTGTGACATAGTGTTAGGCTACTATTGACCTTCTGACAATACCTCAGAAGAAAGATCATCTGCTCTTGGATGGAGGTTGACTGTGGGTAACTGAAAGGTGGAAAATGAAACTGGATAATGGTGGGAGGGACTACTTTATTTTAACTTACTAATATCAAAATGTTTTAGTGAGAACCTTCTTACTAAAGGGAAATAGCTATTTGAGATAAGAATCCTGAAATCTGATTTGAAAGTATCCGCAAACTAACAACAATTAAGATGATACAGTTCATTGTAGCCACAAAATGATTTAATCAGATAATATGGAAGAAAGGTTTTTTCTGGAATATTAGGATCTTGTTCTCAGATGAGAAATAATAGTTCAACTTCTATATGCCATGACCTAAAATTAAAAAAAAAAATGTTTCTCTGATGACAAAATATAGGGGTGCCTGGCTGGCTCAGTTGGTAGAGCATACAACTTTTGATCTTAGAGTTGTGAGTTCAAGCCCCCTCGTTGGGCGTGGAGTCTACTTAAGAAAAAAAATATATCATGGTTAAAAAATGTACTTAACTGTACCAGTAAAATGATCTTAAGTCTCTAGGATACTCTTGAAAGCAACTCTTACTTTTGGATGTTCTGTGGAGTATTGGCCTTCGTTTTTATTTTTTAAGGATTTGTTTTTAATGATTTATGGGGATTCTCAATGTAACTGCACTGGAGAATGCCCCATCTTTATGTAGAAGAAAACTCAAGTACCAGTCTTTCCAGGCTATACTAGCTATCTTTACATTTCTTTTAAAAATTATATCATTTTAAAAAAATAACTATGTCATTGTTTATGTCTTTTGACTGATGTCCTTGAAGCTAATGAAAATATACATTGTAATCTTTTGATTATTTATAAATCATAACATCATTTAGACTGGCTGAGAGTATGATTTCATCATTTTTAATCCATTAAAAATAGAACATTGGTTTGATTTTTGCTATGCTTTTGTTTTAAGGAAATTTAATCAGTTTATCTTTGTTAATCAGAATAATGTTTTGCTTTGATGGGAGAACGTTTATATTTTTAACGTTGAGTAATGGTATATATTTTTATTAGTTAAAGTGAATTCAGAATATCCATTTTGGTCTTAAAGAGAAGTGTTCAAAGGTACCTCCACCTTTGCATATTCTCCTGCCTACTTTGAGGATTTAATGGAGAAGAAGGGTGAGGTAAAGGAGTCTATTTTCAGCTTTTGCCTAGGGAATTTCAAAGACAAGCGAAATTTTGTTAAATCATGTGTTTTAAATGAAATTCCTGTTTAAAATTTTTGTTTTTAGGATAGTGGAGACTATCCACTTACCATGGCTGGGCCTCAGTGGAAGAAGTTCAAATCCAGTTTTTGTGAATTCATTGGCGTATTAGTACGGCAGTGTCAGTATAGCATCATATATGATGAGTACATGATGGATACAGTCATTTCACTTCTTACAGGATTGTCTGACTCACAAGTCAGAGCATTTCGACATACAAGCACCCTGGCAGGTCAGTATTTAAAATTTTTTTGCCTATTTCTTTAGGTTAGAGATGAAAATCGTTTTCATTAATAGAAATGAAATAATCACACAAATTAATTTTGCTTGTAGAGTAACCATCAACAGGACACTCTTCCTCCACTCCCCCCCTTGCCCCATGAATTACTGGGAATGCAATGATATTTTCAGTTTTGATTTTTAAACGTATATTATAGTTAGTATATATTGTGATTTTCTTGTGTTAAACCTACTTGATTGCTATGCCACAGAAGGGGAAAAGAAGTGGATAGGAATGTGTCATGTTTTTGAAAGACGTTTTATCAGGGAGAATGTTGACAGCAAATTTGGGGAGACTGTCAGTCACTTTGGATATGTAGTCCTAATGACCCTTATTTTGTCTCTGATTATGCACTGTCCCTCCTGGTTTGATGGTCCTGGCAGGATCATGTTTATTCTTTAATCACGCCACAAAAGTTTATTTTATTTTATTTTTTTTTATGTTTCAGAGTAACTTTAGACTGAGCTAAATTCTTTGATTTTTGAAATGAGTTATATTTTTAAGCCTTACATAATTCTAGAACAGTGATTTTTGGTGTTGGTGTTTATAAAATCTTTTGGTTCCTCCTTTGTGCTAAAAGTAAAATTGTTGATACGCTATCACTGAATATGTACTTCTTGGTTTGAGTTGGAAAAAAATCAACTAGACTTTCATTGTTACTATAGTATTATAAGCCTTAATGCTAGAATATATGATTTCTGCAAAAATTTTTCATTCTTTAAGTGTGGGGATATTTTTATCCTTTATTTTCCTAAAGAATTAAAGGTACAATTAAAAACGTACTTTTGCTAAGTCTTCCATTTTCAAAAAATGCAGGTAATCTGAGGGAAGGGAGTAGAGGAAAAAAAATGCAGGCAATCTTTCTATAGGATTTTTGTTTTTAGATTGGAAGTCACAAAATAAGAATGTGTTCTTGCTCTATGAATTTAGGTAGTGTTTAATATTAAGAACTTGATGGCTAAAGTAAATGAAAATAAGTATGATGATGTAAGGTGGATAATTTTAGATCAGAATAACAATCTGAGGGAATGAAATAGCTCTGAAGAGAAAATTGAGGATCCCTTTTAAAGACACCCAGTAGCCACAAATTAAGATTTAGTTTTGTGCTGTTCTATTATGCAATGAGAAGTAGTCTGGAGTAAACTAAAAAACGCATAAAATGGTGAGATAGTAGTTTTAAATCACAGTAAGTCTGGTCTCAGGAGCCAGGGTTCGGTAACAGAAGGTGGGAATCTGGAGGAAGTGTAATAAAAAGCACTTTATTAAAAAAAATTTTTTTTAATGTTTGTTTATTTTTGAGAGAGAGAGTACAAGAGGGGGAGGGGCAGAGAAAGAGGGAGACACAGTTTTACACACTATAGTTTGACATGAGCACTGAGATTGCTTCTCCCTTTGGTTATGGAGATCGCTAAATGACTGCTATATGAACCAAAATTTACTTAGAAGGTGAAATATCTCTGAAAAAGATCATAGGGGACACAGTTTAGAGTAGTGGGATATGAGCATAGTCTAAAGTCAGATTACCTGGTTTTTTAAAAGTTTATTTTTGACAGAGACAGAGACAGAGCACGAGTGGGAGAGGGGCAGATAGAGAAAGGGAGACACAGAATCTGAAGCAGGCCCCCTCAGGCTCTGAGCTGTCAGCACCGGGACTCAAACTCCTGGACTGTAAGATCATGACCTGAGCCAAAGTCAGATGTGTAACGGACTGAGCCACCCGGGTGCCCCAGATTGCCTAGTTTTGGATACTGGTTTAACTACTTATATGAACTGCATAATACCAGGCATATTCCTTAATCTCCCTGGCCTTCAGTTTCCTCGTGAACGAAATGGGGATAATACTTGACTTTGAGAGCTGTTGTGAGGTTTAGGAGATAATCCATGAAAAGTACTGTAACATAGGTAACTGACATAGTAAGTATTCAGTACACATTAGCTGTTGTTTATTTTGTTGTTGTCATTTGTAGCAGCTGTATTTTTCTTTTCTGTTAGAAGCAGAACAGCCCATTTTGTCCTTAATTTCTCTTAACTTGATATTAAATTGTAAAATTTTGCATCTGTGAAACTAATTTCAACATTTTCCATTTAAAAATAGCTATGAAGTTGATGACAGCTTTGGTGAATGTGGCACTAAATCTTAGCATTAATATGGATAACACACAAAGACAGTATGAGGCAGAACGGAATAAAATGATTGGAAAACGAGCCAATGAGAGGCTAGAACTCCTGCTACAGAAGCGGAAGGAGGTAAACTTTTGTGTTGAGTTTTTTTTAATGCTATTTATTTATTTATTTATTTATTTATTTATTTATTTATCAAGAGTGAGAGCGAGAGAGAGAGAATGCGCACATGCACGTGTGTGAGCTTGAGCGAGGAGGGTCAGAGAGACGGAGAGAGCGAGTCCTAAGCAGTCTCTGCACTGTAGCGTGCAGTGCTACACAGAGCTGGAGCTCATGAACTGTGAAGCCATGACGTGAGCTAAAGTCAAGAGTTAGATGCTTTATTGATTGAGCACCCAGATGCCCCTGTATTAAATATTTAATCTGTTAATCCATGACCAACGTGGCCACCGTGAATTATCATATAACTTTGCAAGTTCATCAAACTTTTGGGAATGATTTAAATTTAAATAACATTTCAGGTTGTTTAAATGTCCAGTTCGGTTGACTGTGCAAGCCAGCAGTACCTTTTGCATGCATTTTCTTTTCTGTGTGGACTAGGATTAAGAGTTCAAGGTTTTAAGTAAGGAGTCCTGGCCATTCAGACAAGTTGTTTTAAGCCTTAGTATTTATCTCTGCCATGAAAATGTCTCTGTTAACTTCTTCCCCAAGCTTGTTGTTAGGATGAATTCAGGTTTTACTTCTGTGACATCACTGTGAAAAATTACTTATGGGCTATTCATGGTGTCTCAATTGCTGCCCTTTTTTTTTTTGGTAGTATAGGAGGGCAGTTAGCATTAACAACTGACCGCCAAATTTAACTTTGAATGAGGAGACTATTTTTCAGCCTTAAAATTTTTTTTTAATGTTTATTTTTGCGCGAAAGACACAGAGGGTGAGCAGGGGAGGGGCACAGAGAGAGAGGGAGACACAGAATCCGAAGCAGGCTCCAGGCTTGGCGCTGTCAGCACAGAGCTTGACGTGGGGCTCGAACTCACAAGCCGCAAGATCTTGACCTGCGCCGAAGTTGAACACATAACCGACTGAGCCACCCAGGCACCCCCTAAATAAAATATTTTAATGTTGTGTTTGTGATTTTAAATTCCTCCTTCATTAGTGATACATATTTTGCTGTCTGATATTTGTGATGTTTGTGCTCATTTCTAATATGCAAGATCTGATGTTTTAGAAGTGTTAGTAATGCAGTTGAGTTAATATTTGCCATGGTAATCCATAAATTCCTACTTGATTTTGACATATTTGGGGTTGGTAGTAGCTACAATTTTAGTTGATTATTTTTGGGATAGTCAATAACTTTAAAATGTCCTGACTCAACAAAAGCCTCAAAATCTTGTCCATATTTTCCCCCTACCTAAATTCCTCATCTTTTTTGTATAGTTTGAAATGGAAGAATTGACCTTTTTGCCCCTTAATTTAGATAATAACGTTCATCAGATTTATTAGGTAAACATAATGCATGTCTTAGGCCTTGAAATTATGGTCCAATTCTTGGACATTATTTTAAGATTGTGAGCATAGAACGAGTGGATATAGGTAAAAGGATTTTGAGATTAAAATTCCTGTACAGGTATAAGATACTAATACTTCTAGGTTAGGGTTAAGTTTTTGACCACCTTGTACATTTGACTATTTATCTGTGCTAATGACTATAAGAAGCACATGCCCTTATTAGCATTATTTGGAAATGCAAGAATGTATTTATAAAAGAAAAAAATACATTTTACAAAAGCACAGAACATAATCTAAAAGCTCATTGATACTTAAACTGTGAAAGATTTTTCTCCTCTCAAGCTCTGAAACAATTTTGTCTTCATTCTCAAACTCTGAATTGAAAAATAATGGGAGTAGATAAGTAAACTAAGATTTTAAAATGTTTACTTGATTATTTAAGGTGCGATTTGTTTCCTTCAAAAGAATTTAGCAGGGAGATTCATTTTTACTAAGTTATTTTACTCAAATATCTTTTGTTCTTTGAACAAACACTGTAACATTTCTTTTTCTGATGATTATGACCAAGATACTGAAATAATGTTAGGCTTTTTTGATATGAACATACATGTTATATAATAGGTGATACGTGTGATAATAAATTACTTCACAGATTCTTATGTGCCTTTTTACAGTGGAAATTTGTGACCCTTAGAAAAGGCTAATCTACCAGGTAAACATTAAAAGCCACGTCAAATATTCTAGGTATCAAGGGACTTTGGCTACCTGATCTACAGCAGCTGTTAATTTTTGTGTATGGTTACTGTTGTCTAGCAGAATTAAAAATTAGATTTAATTACCAAAATACTGGGGAGACCTGCATTTGTACTTGTAACAACTTCTAGAAGTTCTTTTCATTGTCCTTCCTTACAATTGAAAAGAAATGATGTATTCTTTTCAGCTTCAGGAAAATCAAGACGAGATAGAAAATATGATGAATGCAATATTTAAGGGAGTGTTTGTACATAGATACCGGTAAGTCAGGACATTTTTTCTATGTAATTCTTTTTTTTATAGAGTTTAAATTTATTCATTTATTCTAAGAGAGAGAGAGAGCACACAAATGCACACAGGAGCTAGTGGCAGAGAGAGAGGGAGAGAATCTCAAGTAGGCTCTGTGCTGTCAGCGTGCAGCCTGATGCAGGGCTTGATCTCATTAACCGCCAGATCATGACCTGAGCCAATATCAAGAAATCAAGAGTCAGATGTTTAACTGACTGAGCCACCCAGGCGCCCTCGATGTAATTCTTTTTTCCTATTCAAGTTTGGGTATTTAGTGGTTTAGGCAGTATAAATCAGTGGAAGGAGCACTGGAACAAGATCAGTGTTAGAAGGTAAGGTCTTCCACTGACACTGATTGAGCTACTCGACAGTCAAGTTATTTAACTGCTCTGAAGTTGATGTTTTCTCTCTGAAAAATGGGGTAATGTGCTTGACTTATAGCTGCCCAGCAGATGGAAGCTACTTCTATGATTAGGACTCAGAGCACAGAATACTTCATTGCCTTTGGATGTACTATGTTAATAGAAACTATGCATGACAATTCTGGGCTCTACTGTTTTGCGTGTCAGTGGGAAAGTTTGGATAGATTTAAGGGTTTTTTTTGTTCGTTTTGTTTTGTTTTGTTTTGCTGTTTTGAATGAGCAGAGGAAAGAAATAGGTAATCTTATCACCATTTCTCCTCTAACCTATTCTTTAAATGTTGGTCGCATTTTTATTCAACTTCTCCCTCACTTCCTCAACTTGTCAATTATTGAATCACTTCCTTTGTAATGTCCCTTTGTCCATTTTTTCCTTTTTGTTTCTGGTGTCACCATTATCTTAGTCTATTCTCCCACCATTTCTCATACCTAGAGATTATTGAAGTTTTCCTAAAACATTCTTTTGTTGTTATTCCTCTGCTCAGAAGCCTTCAGTAACTCACCAGTATCTATAGGCTGAATTCAAAATAAATTTAGTCTGACATTCAAATCCAAATTTAGCTTGGCCTCAATGTTATGTGTACCTAATTCTCTCCTGGAAAATTATGCTCTAACTAGACTAGTGTGCCTGCTGTTTTCTGAACACACTGTGCCCAGCAGGTGTGAGCAGAGGCTGGGATATGGCATGATATAAAAGGTGAGGGATTCAATTTTGTTTGTAGTTTTATTTAATTTTAAATATTCATGCGATGACTATTATGCTTTGCCAAATAGACTGTAAGCATTCAGGTGTCATGCATCAGTTCTACTTTTAAATCCCCAGTAATCCATAAAGGTATTTGGCATCTCTTGACTAAATCACAGATCCTGTTGCTGTAGTGGCACTAATATATGTAATTTTTCTTTCCTTCATTTAGTGATGCAATAGCTGAAATCCGAGCTATTTGCATTGAAGAAATTGGCATTTGGATGAAAATGTATAGTGATGCCTTTTTAAATGACAGTTATTTAAAGTATGTTGGTTGGACTATGCATGATAAGGTGAGATATGCTCTTATAGAATATTTGTGTACATATAGGCATAGCTATCTACAGCTCTCATTCGTGAGGAGTATCTGCGTATAGGTATGCCTGGGACCACATTCCTATAGACCCCTCTCTTTTATTCTTTTCTATCTTTTCCATGAGAACATGGTCTCCTAGACTTTTAAATCTTGGCCACTGATTTGGACATCAATCTTGAATTACTTTTTGTAGCGAAACATTAGAATCATGTATGAGGTGGTGGTCAGGCATTTCTTAGAGCAGCCTTATTCTTAATATGTGAGTGCTAAATACTTTTAAAATTTTTCTAACTTTTCTTCTCTCTTTGATAAACACATATCTTTGACAGATTATAAATTACTTTGCCTTTGACCTTTTTTATTTTCTGTTTTTTGTTAATCTGCCTTTCTCTCAGGCTACCTTTTCACTAGCCTTGAAGTTCTTAGCATACATCCTTTACAAATACTTTTTTTGAAGGAAAACCTGCTGTCAAATGTTCTACTATTGTCTTTCACGGTAGTATTGCTCTGAATAAGTTTTCAAAAAATTTTCATTTGACCTACAGAAATAGTAACCCAAAAGGTCTTTAGTCTTAAATGTATGTATTGATTTCTATTTTTGCATTATCAGGGATGAGAGGTTTTGAAAATGAAAGTTTTGGAGAATTGTATGGAAGATACTTAAATATTTAAAGTAGAAAATACTGTTTATGTCTTGAATATTCACGTTGAAGATATGCAGAGTTTTAATGCATTTTCTCCTCTTGTTTCATTTAGCAAGGTGAGGTAAGACTCAAATGTCTCACTGCTCTACAAGGGCTTTATTATAACAAAGAGCTTAATTCCAAACTGGAGCTTTTTACCAGTCGGTTCAAGGTTAGTATAACTTTAAGTTTTTAAAAATTACCTGTTGTTTGAAAATATTTTTCTCTAATTTTTACTTTATTTTTAAAAAATTTTTTTTTCTAATTTTTACTTTAAAAATATCTTAATTTTTTTGTCCTTAGGATAGAATTGTATCTATGACCCTTGACAAAGAATATGATGTTGCAGTACAAGCAATAAAATTACTTACTCTTGTTTTACAGTAAGTATGTATTTATTGCATATTATTAATGTTCAGATGTTTAAATAAAACATTAGAGTATATAGTTTAAATTTATCTGGTTTTAAATTTTAATTACTTAAGTCAGAATTTTTACAGCTAGAAGTTTAATTTTCTAACGTAAGGTTGTAGAAACAGGAAGAGGAAACCATTAGAGTAGAATATTTTAACTGAGCTAGGAATTCATGTGTTCCCATTCTGATGGCCAGTTTCCTTTCCATTTCACTGTCTCAGGTGCCCTTGAAATAAAGTTAAACACTTGAGTATATTAAATATGCCTATTATATTTTGTCACTCTTTTAGAAAATAGTATTTACTGAAATTTCTCTGTGAACAATCTGAATTTAAAACATTCTTTTATGCATTTAACCTCCCCCCCCCCGTCCCGGGTGGGGGGCATTAAGGAGGGCACTTTTTCAGATGAGCACTGGGTTCTACCTCTGAAGCCAAGACTATGGCTATGTTGACTAACTTGAGAGTAAAAAAAAAAGAGAAAGACTAAAAAAGAAAATTTTATTATGTTCAAATGTAATAGTGATGCAATATTTTTTCCTTTTTAGAAAAATTTACCATCATATTTTAAAAAATTTGTTTTTTAATGTTTTTTGTATTTGAGAGAGAGAGAGCATGCACATGAGCAGGGCAGGGGCAGGGAGAGGGAGAAACAGAATCCGAAGCAGTCTCCAGGCTCTGAGCTGTTAGCACAGAGCCCGACACAGGGCTTGAACTCCCGAACCGTGAGATCATGACCTGAGCCGAGGTCGGATGCTTAACCGACTGAGCCACCCACGTGCCCCTAAAATGTTTAATTGAAGTGTAGTTGACATAATACTAAATTAGTTTCAGGTATACAACATAGTATTTCAAAAATAATATATATTATGAAACGCTCACCACAATATGTATATCGTAGTATTATTAACTATATTCCCTATGATACACTTTTCATCCTTGTCACTTACTTTATTACTGAAAATTTGTTCCTCTTAATCCCTTCATCCATTTTGCCCATTTGCCCCACTCCCCTCCCCTTTGGCACAGGGGTTCATTTTCTCCACAACCTCACCAACACTGTTATTTGTCTTTTTGATACTAGCCATTCTGACTGTTGTGAAGTAATACCTCATTGTGGTTTTGATTTGCATTTTCCTGATGATTAGTGATGTTGACCGTCTTTTCATTTGTTTGTTGGTCATCTGTATGTCTTTGTAAAAATGTCTGTTCAGGTCCTCTGTCCAGTTTTTAATCCGATGTTTTTGGTATTGAGTTGTATGAGTTCTTTATAGATGAAAACAGTATGGTGGTTCCTCAAAAAACTAAAAATAGAAGTACCATAGGATCCAGTAATTCCACTACTGGGTATTTACCTAAAGAAAATGGAAACACTAATTCAAACAGATATATGTCCCTCTATGTTTATTGGAGTATTATTTACAATAGCCAAGTTTAAGAAGCAGGTAATCTGTCCCATCAAAAGATGAAGGATAAGATACGGTGTACACATGTACACACACACACAGGAATATTACTCAGCCAATAAAAATTTACAATTTTAAACATTTTTTAAGTGTATAGTTTAGAGGCCTTTAGTATGTTTATTTTGTTGTGAAGCCATCACCATTATCCATCTCCAGAACTATTTTTATCATCCCATACTGAAACTCTCTACCCATTAAACACTAACGCCCTATTCCTTCATTCCCCCCCAGCCCCTGGTGACCACGGTTCTACTTTCTATCTCTATAAATTAGACTATTTTAGGAAACTCCTATAACTGGAATCACATAGTATTTGTAATTTTGTATCTGGCTTATTTCACTTAGCATAATGTCTTGAGTTTATTCATGTTATAACATGTATCAGGATTTCATTTACTTTTGAGGCTTAGTAATATTCCATTATATGTTTATGCCACATTTTGTTTACCCATTCATCTGTCAGTGGACATTTAGTTTGTTAGCATGATCCAAATAATAATTGCAAAATGATTTTTTTAACGTACCATGCTAATTCTGACACTCGTATGGAAAATTCATCATGTAATGGTAGCCAGTGAAGCTGTGATAAAAACATTTAGTGAGTGATGACTGCCCAGTATTATTTTTAAAAAAGGATATTCTTTGTTCATTCTAAGATTATGTTCTTTCCTTTTTTTTTTTAACATTTTTTTTGAGAGAGAGCGAGCGAGCATGGGGGAGGGGCTGAGGGAAAAGGTGAGAATTTTTCGCAGGTTCCATGCCCAGATCTCACGACCCTGAGATCACGACCTGAGCTGAAATCAGGAGTTGGATGCTTAACCAATTGAGCCACCCAGGCGCCCCCCAAAATAAATTATTTTTTACCTATGTCCACAAATGGCTGGAAGTGATTTGGTTAAAATTAGCATTGCGTAGGACTCCCAATAAAATTCTCCCCCTCCTCTTTTTAAACTCTTTTATTGGCATATAACCGACTGAGCCACCCAGGCACCCCTGCGCAGTATCATTTTAAGTCATATTGTAGAACCATAGTAATTTTTAGATTTCAGTACTGGTGTGTGAATAGACTGTGATTAGTAGCAGAGAATAAAGAATAGAGACAAGCACAAATGAGTCAGGGAACCTAGTATAGGGTGAGGGTGACATTTTCCTATAAGAAAATAAATGGTTAAAAAAAAATGGCTTTGTGACAACTAGGTTCTATTTGGGGAAAAATAAAATCGGATTCCCATCCCATTCCTTATACAAAAGCAATTTCCACATGGATGAAATGTTTAAATGCAAATAAGTGAAACCATTCAAGTACTAGATGAAAACCTGGGGGAGATTAAACATTTTTATTTGATATGTAAAATGACTGAGCAAGATCTTTCAGAGCTTGACATAAAACCTAGACATAACAAAAATCATTGAATTAATTACATAAAAAATTTTAAATGTCTGTATGACATAAAATACCACAAACTCAGAGAACCAATGACAGATTGGGCAAAATACTTTTTTATCAGAGGAGTTAATTTCAGTAAATCAATTTAAAGAATAGAAACCCAAGAATAGTCCAGAGTCAGGAAACCAAATCATGGGCAGAAAAGAAAATAAAAATTTAAACATATGAAAAGATGTTGAGCCACATATAGAGACAAGTATATTATTTTTTTTTTTTAATTTTTTTCAACGTTTTTTATTTATTTTTGGGACAGAGAGAGACAGAGCATGAATGGGGGAGGGACAGAGAGAGAGGGAGACACAGAATCGGAAACAGGCTCCAGGGTCTGAGCCATCAGCCCAGAGCCCGACGCGGGGCTCGAACTCACGGACCGCGAGATCGTGACCTGGCTGAAGTCGGACGCTTAACCGACTGCGCCACCCAGGCGCCCAGAGACAAGTATATTAAAATGAGATCATTTTTTTAACCTGTCATTTGACAGATATACAAGTGTTTGCTAATACACTATTTTGTTAAAGCTGTGCAAAAACAGGTCCTTAAACATTATTGATGTGACTATAAATTGATACAACCTTTTTGGGAAGAAGCTTGACAGTATCTATGTTCAAAATTTTAGTTGCTCACATTCTATAACATAGCATTGTTTATAATAGAATTAAAAAAAATGTTTATTATTGAGAGGGAGAGAGAGCGTGCAAACAGGGGCAAGGGGAGGGAGAGAGAGAGAGTCCCAAGCAGGCAGCACATGAGCTAGCCTGACATGAGCCTGACATGAGCCTGGGTCTCACGAACAGTGAGCTCATGACCTAAGCTGAAATCAAGAGTAGGATGCATAACTGACTGAGCCACCCAGGCACCCCAGAATAGAATTTTTGATATGGCCTAAATGATTATCAATAGAGGAAGAATTAAATTAATATGTAAGATAATAGCTGTTTTGATTGCATTTTCTTTTTTAGTTCAACTTAAAAATTATAAATATTGTATACGTTATGAAAGTATTGAAATAATTCTGAAATAAATAAGAAAATAATAGTACTCTACATGTATTTCCGTAGCTTCTCCCTTCCTCTGTAACACCTTACGGATATCTCTCAATATTTTTTTAAAGGATAATAGCCATTTAGTTGATTCAGCTATTACATACTTCATCACTGGAACTTGTCAGGAGCATTCCTTCTCAAACAGTTAAAATGAGTGAACTATTGCACATTGATTTGAGTCAGTGTATATATATTTTTTAATTATAAAATGACCCAAGTGGGGGCGCCTGGGTGGCTCAGTGGGTTGAGCATCCGACTTTGTTCAGGTCATGATCTCGCAGTTAGTGAGTTCAAACCCCGTGTCGGGGTCTGTGCTGACAGCTCAGAGCCTGGAGCCTGTTTCAGATTCTGTGTCTTCATCTTTCTCTGCCCTTCCCCTGCTCGCATTCTGTCTCCCTTTCTCAAAAATAAATAAACATTAAAAAATTAAAATGACCCAAATGGTTTTTCCAATAACGATTCAGTATTATACATGGAGTAAGTCAAAATGCTTTTGAAACTTGAATTGTAACATTTTGGTTTTGTTTCTCTTAAAGAGAAGTACTATTTCCTTAGACATCAGACTTCTGGAATCCTTGGGCACAGCAGAAAACCAAAAAGGATCTGAGCTCCTCAACTAACCATCTAACATACTTTGACTTCTTTCTGTGTTGGTGGTCCTGTGATTCTCAATTTACATATAATGCTAAAAACCTAGATTGCATATTAGGGGTGAAGGAGGTACCAGAGGCCAGGACCCTGAATACAGAGTCCATAAGGGAAGAACTTAACAAGATTTACCCTGAGGTACTGTGGTTGATGGGCCTAATAATGACTTTTATTTACCAAGAAGATTTTATTAGGTTTATTTTGTGTGTTTTTTTTAAATTTTTTTTACATTTTATTTTTGAGAAACAGAGAGACAGAGAGACGTAGCACAAGTTGGGGAGAGGCAGAGAGAGAGGGAGACACAGAATCCGAAGCAGGCTCCAGGCTCTCAGCTGTCAGAACAGAGCCCGATGTGGGACTCGAACTCAAAAACCATGAGATCATGACCTGAGCTGAAGTCAGCCACTTAACCGACTGAGCCACCCAGGCACCCCAAGGTTTATTTTGTTTTTTAAAAATGAGATCAGGGAAATGAGCAGTACATTTTAGTAAGATTTTTCCAATGATAGATTGCAATTAAAGGTCTTTGGCACTTGAATTTTAACTATTTCAAAAATCTATTTGCATTGCCTTATGGTGTTCAGTACATGGCGAATGAAGTATTCATCATTGTGAGAGAATTGGGGTGTTGGTATATTTTAATGTTGTGATATTCTTAATATCACTATGAAGTACAGAGAGTATTTTCTGTGATTATTAACTCTAAGCTCTTAGAATGCCACCACTTAATTTTTTACATTAGTTTTTATTCTGTCTTCATTTCTCTTTTGCATCCTTGTCACATTATCACTTCTCTTCATCATATATTTCAGTACATTTGGTATTCACTCTAATTTTTCCTCCCATTGATCTTAGATGTTAAAAAATATGCAGCTCTTTTGTCAGTGTAAGCTTTTACTGACAGATGATACTCAAATAAGGTTGAGTTTTTTTCTTTTTTTTTTAAACAGAAGTTAGTAAAAGTGTACTGTTTTTTAATGTATGAGCATGGATTGTTGTACCCAGTGTCTTTAAAATTAAGTCATTGTTGAAACTGCTTCTGCTCATTTATTTTTTTAGGAGTAGTGAAGAAGTTCTTACTGCAGAAGATTGTGAAAATGTCTACCATCTGGTTTATTCAGCTCACCGGCCAGTAGCAGTAGCAGCTGGGGAATTTCTCTACAAAAAGTAAACCTATATTTTTGTTATTTTGTAAAGTATACTTTTATGACAGTAATTCCTTGTGCTATAATTGATACTAAAGATGTATATAACTCATTTAAAAAATTATTCAGTACAAGGTGTAACTTTCACATTTAAACCTTTCTCCAATTCACTTGATTTGTAGAAGTTAAATCTTTAAAGGGAAATGCCTTTTAATGGATAAAATATATAAAAATATATCTATATCGTCATGTTAAGACTGACCTCTTCCTAATTTTTCATTCTTTTCTCCCATGTCAGCTTCCAAATATTGCCCTTCCTAATGTAATATTTAGTTTTTTTAAAAAAAATTTTTTAATGTTTATTTATTCTTGAGAGAGAGACAGAGACAGAGTGTGAGTGGGCAAGGGTCAGAGAGAGAAGGAGACACAGAATCTGAAGCAGGCTCCAGGCTCTGAGCTATCAGCACAGAGCCTGAAGCGGGGCTCGAACTTACAAAACTGTGAGGTCATGACCTGAGCTGAAGTCGGACTGAGCCACCCAGGTACCCCATAATACAATATTTAGTCTTAAGCCTGTAATTGTTTTGCTTTAGAAAATATTAAAAGGTTTTGCCTCAAGTGTTTGATATAGTGTGACATAAGAATCCCCAGAATCCTACAATCTTTTTCATGTTCCTATAACACCTCAGATCAGGTAGTATGGATAGCAGTGTGAATATCTTGGCCACAGAAAACATTCGGCAAATGTTATGTAATGGCTTCTAAAGAGAACAATTTGAACCACATGGACTAAACTATGTATCTTTGAGATTTTATTAAAATGCCTATTTGGCAGAAGCAATTTTATTAGAAAGTTCTACATGATATAAAATGTTCATATTCCATTTTTCTATTGGTTGCTACCAGTGATGGTTCTCTTTTGTCATATATAAGGAAAAACCATCATGATGTCCATAGAAAGAGGCCACTAAATTCAGACTTTGGGATAATTGCAAGAAGGATAGAAAGAAAATACATGTTTAGTTTTAAAGAGATGAGTATCATAGATTTAGGGCATAAATGATATAGGCTAGTATAATATTTTTATGAAAAGGAATGGTTGCATAAAATGCAGTAATGTTTTTAAAAAGAAATAATTCATAACTCCATACAATTAACTTGAGAAGTTAATTTAAGAGGACTTAGAAGTACTATCAAGTTTGAAATTAAAAAGGTTTATAGCAGTTATTTACTTGGGTATCATGTTGTAGAGTACTCTACCTACCCAGGTTTCATTTACTCTCTTTAGTTAGATGCTTAAAATATGGAATCCAGACAGTTTTTTTTTATTAGGAAATACGGTTTTTTTGTTTTAAAAGTAAATCTTTTGTGTTGATTGTAGGCTCTTCAGTCGTAGAGATCCAGAGGAGGACGGAATGATGAAAAGAAGGGGACGACAAGGTCCAAATGCCAACCTTGTGAAGACATTGGTTTTTTTCTTTCTGGAAAGTGAGGTTAGTTAATGTTCATTTTATGCGTATGTTCAAAACAATTTGGAGAAAAGGTTGAAATAATGTATATTTTAAAATCTTCCACATATCACAGAAAATCTTGGATGGAATAGTTGTACCCATTACATAAAGTTTAAAAAACTTTTGACTTTTCTTAAGATGTTCAAATAATAGGATTTATGTACAGAGCTTAGAGTATGAGCTTTGGAATCAGAAAGACCAATTGGGGTCCTCTGATTATTATTTGTATAACTTTGTTTTAGTTACTTAGTTTTTCTCTGCCCCATTTCCCTTGTAAAAATATGGGTAATAATTTGTTACCTAAGAAATTAGCTATCTAATCCACGTAAAACTCTTAACACAGACCCTGCATTTCATTCTCAGTATTTGGTACCTGCTTTATTACTTTTGTTGTAAAGAAGGAGATAGGGATTTACATTTAACATCAGCTCTTAGGTCTCCTTCAGGTTGAAAACCTGTTGACAAGAATTTGAGAGAATCCAACATACATTTTTGGTGTCCATATTCTGTATCACTTAATCACTTTTAGAGTCTTTTAATTAAATTTTCTAATTGTTTCTGCATATAGAAATACAGTTGGTTTTTGCATATGGACCTCTTAACTGTAACTTTGCTAAATTCACTTATTTTGGTAAGTTTTTAATAGATCTGTTGAGTTTTTCTCTAATAATACAATCAAGTCATTGCAAATAACGATAGGTTTATTTCATTTCATTTATGCCATTTTTCCTTGGTGTTACTTTTTTGGTCACTGTTTGTTTATTTTTTGAGAGAGAGAGAGACACACACCGACCGTGCACATACAAGTTGGGAGCAGGGTGGACAGAGGGGGAGACAGAGAATCCCAAGCAGGCTCTGCACTGTCAACGCAAGCCTGATGCGGGGCTCTTACTCACAAACCTGTGAGATCATGACCTGGATCAAAATCAAGAGACTGAGTCACCCAGGTACCCCTTCCCTGGCATTATTGCACTGGTTAGGACATCCAGTAGAATGTTGAATAGAATAGGTGAGAGTAGACACTTTTGGATTGTTGTTGATCTTCGTGGAAAAGTGTCCAATATCTCTTTGTTCTCTTATTAGTTATGGGTATTGTGTAACTGTTTATTTGAGGATGTTTCCTTCTATCCCTTTTGCTGAGTTTTATCTTGAATGGATGTCGAATTCTGTCCAATGCTTTTTCTGTGTCCCTTAAGATTGTTTTATTGTATCCTTCATTATGTTAATAATTGAACTATGTTGATTGGTTTTTTGAATTTTGAACCAACCTTGCATTCTTAGGGTAAAACCTACTCAGTCGTGATCTGTTATCCTTTTTATATATTGCTGGTTTCTATTCCCTCTATATTCATGTAAGATGTTGGTCCATACATTGTTTTATTTGTAATGTCTCTGACAGCTTTTGGTGTTATTGTAATGTTGTTTCCCTAAAATGAGTTGGGAAGCTATAGGGCCTTTTAAGCTTCACAGAATGAAGAGAAATAATATACTTATATATTGAATTGATAAGTTAAACATGTATTTTATGTTTTAAGTAACCATTATCACCCCCATTAAATTAAAATCCCAGTATAATTGTAGTTAATTCATGTAGTATTGAGTCAAAATAGGCACTAAACTTAAATGCATATAATCTTTTCAGAATTAATTTTCTTGTAAACTGTTTAATGATTATTGTGAGGAATATTTAATGATACTACCTAACTAGGTTAACTTATACACAGCAAGCTGAGGCAAGTGTCTTCTTTGTCCTTTTTTCCATTTGACCTCAACAAACAGACATGCTGTTTGAGTTTGTACGTGGTGCCAACAAAGCTTCCATTCCTTTGAGTTAAGGCTAGTGTACTATTTGTCTAAGAGCACGTTGCTCTTTTTAAATTTTAGTTACATGAGCATGCAGCATACCTTGTGGACAGCATGTGGGACTGTGCTACCGAGCTACTGAAAGACTGGGAATGTATGAATAGCTTGTTGCTGGAGGAGCCACTTAGTGGAGAAGAAGGTAAGTGGTTGTTTTCTTGTCTAGACAGTTTTGAAAATGGATTATACTTATTCCATTTGTATTTAATATTAAAACGTAACTGAAAATCTTTGTGAATAATCGTGTTTTCATATACACGAATACTATGTAAAAAGATGTAGTTGCTGTCAATATTGTTGATTTTTTTCCTCCTGGTATCTGTGTTCATATCTTTGGTCAAATTGTGGACCAGTGATGCACAGATTTGTACTGTTCAGGATCGTTTACCTTGTTCTCATCCTTTTAGTGATACAGTAATGGGATATTCTTTAGTACATTAGGTCAGATTCTGTCACAGGCAGAAGGAATTGTTATGTAATACTTATAAGTGGCATATAGGAAAAAGAAACAGGTTAACTCTTTCTGATTCTTTTTTTTTCAGCATTAACAGACAGACAGGAGAGTGCTCTGATTGAAATAATGCTTTGTACCATTAGACAAGCAGCTGAATGTCATCCTCCTGTGGGAAGAGGGACAGGAAAAAGGGTATGTCAGTATAGTTTCAATATTTTAAAGTATATTTCTGCCTTTTCAATATCATTAAAAAAATTCTTGTTTTTAAATTTTTTTTAATGTTTGTATTTTAGTTTTGAGGGAGAGAGGTCGAGTGCGAGTGGGGGAGGGGTAGAGAGAGAGGGAGACACAGAAGCCGAAGCAGGCTCCAGTCTCTGAGCTGTCAGCACAGAGCCCGATGCGGGGCTCAAACTCAGACTGTGAGATCATGACCTGAGCCGAAGGGACGCCCAACCGACTGAGCCACCCAGGCACCCCTAAAAAAAATTCTTGTTTGTAACTATAGAGCCATATTTTTGAATCTTAAATTTTATTTTTCAGATGATCTTTGCTAATATGTGTTAGAAGTAAATTTTAAAGCATTAGCAATTTGGAAAATTTGAGTTCCTTCCATAAGATACTTTGGTAGTTACTTCAGGAGATACAGTGATAGTCTCTGCTCAAGACTAAATATAACTCACAAGGGCATTTTTAAAAAAAATATATATGTATTTTTGAGAGAGGGAGAGAGAGACTAGACAGAGCAGGAGAGGAGCAGAGACAGAGGGAAACAGAGAATCCCAAGCAGGCTCTGCACTGTGCGTGAAGAGCCCGACATGGGGCTCCATCTCCTGAGCTGCGAGATCCTGATCTGAGCCGAAATCCAGAGTCGAATGCTTAACCAAGTGAGCCACCCAGGTGCCCCTAGAATGGTCCATTTTTGTGTTTTGGTTTATTTGTAGACTTGCTTTCTCTTTCTTTTAATAAAAATTAGAAATTAAAACATGTTTATTCATTAAAATGGAGAAATACCTATTTCCTTGGATTATTTTTTAACGTATCACTGCAAAGTTCACATATATTTGCATTATAAACCAATAATTCACCAGCCTTTTAAACATTTTGATTATGAGGCATAAAAATACATGGTTTGTCACCTGGTATACACCTATATATGTGTGTTTATGTGTAACTGAAATAAAACTTCATCAGACAGTACTGAAACTTACAGTATGTAACTTACTTTGTTTTCCATTTTTTCTTGTTTTTCTAAATGATGATAGTAACTTACTATGTTGAATTCATAACCCATGGATCATGGCCCATAGCTTAGAATACACTGAAATGCTACTCAATCTCGTTATTATAGAAGATCCTAAACTACATTTTCTATTCCTAACTGCTTCTTTATTCATCTAATGGTAGAGTTGGTTAGTCTAATTGGGTATTGATTTTGCCTTTGGAATCCTTCAAAGTTTTTTATTGTTGTTATTTTAGGTAGCTTTTAAAATAATTGTGCAGGTTATTCTCTGTTACTTTTGGGTTTCATATTTTATAGTAGAAATTTTAGTATCCATCATTTAAAATACAGTTTCATCGCTTATTTTGTATGTCTTAACTTGAACTTGAGCACCTAACAATGTTAATAGGTTTAGTAAATACTTAAAAGCATTGTTGTGTTCATTCAGGTGCTGACAGCGAAGGAGAAGAAGACCCAGTTGGATGACAGGACAAAAATCACTGAACTTTTTGCTGTGGCTCTTCCTCAGTTATTAGCTAAGGTACATTTGTGTAATGTCAGAGTATTTCTAAGAAATTACAGGATTTGTTTGGAAATGCCATGCAGATTTTTATCATAATGTCTACTTAACATTTTTGTGATGTTTTGTCATGATTTTCTTTTTATTTCAAAGTATTCTATAGATGCAGAAAAGGTGACTAACTTGTTGCAGTTGCCTCAGTATTTTGATTTGGAAATATATACCACTGGACGATTAGAAAAGGTACAGTGTTTTCTCTGTGTAAAGACACCTTGAACAAAAGTTACTGGTTTAGTTCATCTCATCATATTGTTTGTTTATATTTTTGAAACTTCTAATGCTAAAGGAAACCTACATTTTATATATCTTCTTTATTTTCTCTAAGTTGGATTTAAAGATTGGCATTAATGAGGCTTCCTTTTGATTCATGCCCATAGCCATACCCTCATTCCTACCCATTATGAGAATATATCTGATCATTTATGGAGATTGGGGTTAGATAACTGGATAATAGTAACTGTAAAATGAGAGCAGTTAATATTCATTGAATACCTTTACTGTGTTCCAGGAACTATTGTAACTTCTTTGTATTTTCACCAAAGCCCTATGAGATTGGTAATATTATTCCCATTAAATCTGAGGAAATAAGTATGGGTGGGTTATTGTATTTATTTTCCACAACTGGAAAAACATCAAAATGTATGCCCTATTTGTTGTAGAGTTACCATATTTGAAGCTTTTTGTCGCAGAGGTGTAGTCTTTCTGTGCCTATCATATGTACCTTAGTGTTTTTTTTATTTATATGTTCCTTAGTTTTACTGGGAAAAAAAAAAAAAAAACCTTTGATTTTGCAGCATTTGGATGCCTTATTACGACAGATCCGGAATATTGTAGAGAAGCACACAGATACAGATGTTTTGGAAGCATGTTCTAAAACTTACCATGCTCTCTGTAATGAAGAGTTCACAATCTTCAACAGGGTAGATATTTCAAGAAGTCAACTGATAGATGAGTTGGCAGATAAATTTAACCGGCTTCTTGAAGATTTTCTGCAAGAGGTATATATTACAAGTATTTTGTCAGTTGGGTTCCTCCCCTTCAGTAACCGAATTATTCATGTGTCCTGGTCATAGTCCCTAGCAGTATGTTTAAAAATGTTCAGACTTTTTGTTCTTTGATTCATCGTGTTACTGTTACTCCACCAAAATGGGAAGGTGGTAAGAATCTGTGACTGGGAGAAGGTGGAAGCAAAACTGATACTCCCTCCCCTTTTGTTATTTAAAAAAAAAAAAAAAAAAATCTCAGAAGTTACCAGGGTTTAGCTGAACCAGAAGCTATTAGGCAATTAGGGTATAAATGGAACAGAAAAGTAGAACTAAACTATGGCCATGTAGCCTCATAAAAGAAGGCTATTTGTTAGTGTTTTGACAGTGTTACTAAGGAAAGGCAATTAATGATCTTTGATATTGTAAAGCCTTGATAAATTGCTGTTACAGGGGCGCCTGGGTGGCTCAGTCGGTTAAGCGTCCGACTTCGGCTCGGGTCACGATCTCACGGTCCGTGGGTTCGAGCTCCGCGTCGGGCTCTGGGCTGATGGCTCAGAGCCTGGAGCCTGCTTCCAATTCTGTGTCTCCCTCTCTCTGACCCTCCCCCATTCATGCTCTCTCTCTGTCTCAAAAATAAATAAACACTAAAAAAAATTTTTTTAATAAAAAAAAATTGCTGTTATAGCTACACTGTTCATTTGGGGGTTTCCTTTGTTCTATTATATTCCTAAAGAGACTTAAATTGTGACACTCAAATACACTTGTATTTTTTGAGTTTTGTATTTTCTGGAAATACATACCTAACAGTAATTGACGTGCATAAAATAAAATGTCATAATTCTCAAAATGAATGCATTTAGCCTTTTCTACCTAACTTTTGTCATTAATGTTACAAAAATCATAATGGACTTTGTAATTTTCAGTTTTCTTGTTTGTTACTTCTTTAACTTTCTTGTTTTGGGTGTGTGTAACATTCCATGCTTACTAAGTTTTGCTTAATTGGAGGTCTGTGCAAATATGTTAATGTACAATGATGACATTTCTTAGTTAAAAAATTTATTTTTTAATATTTATTTTTTGGGAGAGTGCAAGCAGGGGAGGGACAGAGAGAGACAGAGGATTTGAAGCGGGCTCTGCACTGACAGGCTGACAGCAGCAAGCCCGATGTGGGACTTGAACTCAACGAACCATGAGATCATGACCTGAGCCAAAGTCAGACATTCAACTGATTGAGCCACCCAGGCACCCCTTTAGTTAAAAAATTTAATGGCTGTACTGTTGGCTAGATGTGATTGTGACTAGGACAAGTTAAGTCAAAATCAAGCAATGGATTAAGTTTATTTTATTATTTTTTAAAATTAAAAAAAAAAGTTTATTTATTTTGGAAGGAGAGAGAGAGAGAGCCCGAGTGGGGGACAGGCAGAGAGAGAGGGAGACACAGAATCTGAAGCGGGCTCCAGGCTCCAGGCTCCAGGCTCCGAGCTGTCAGCGCAAAGCCCAATGCAGGGCTCTAACTTATGAGTCTTGAGATCATGACCTGTGCTGAAGTCGGATGCTTAACTGACGGAGCCATCCAGGCGCCCCAAGCAGTGGATTAATTAAGTTTAATTACTTGTGTAGAAAAATTCAAGTTTAGAAACAAAATGTTTTTTGAGAGACACAAGGTTCAGTATAGTAAGTTTGATAGTATTTAAAAAAAATTACAAGTTTCATGGCAGTAAGACTCAAAATTTTCAAAAACTTAAGTTACTCTAAATTGGAAAATTGATACTCACAAAGCTCAATATGTCTTTCTTGAGCACTGTGTTTCCTTCATTTAGGTTTTATCTTTTAGGTGTTGTCTTTATGATCTCTTGTTTGTCCTTTACTATATTTTTCTTTATTGTCCTAATACATCTTTTACTGTGAAAGAGTAAATTACTTCCTAGTTTTGTGTCAAGGTTACGTTAAGGGAAAGGGGAGAGTGTCACTCAGTTTTTCTTTCGTGAGTATAATGTACCTGTGATAACAACTCTATTGACTCATTACTCCAGCCATACTGCTTTAAATTTGAACAGACTAGGTATTGAATGAGAAACTTAGTTTGTGGTGTTAGGTTATTTTTCTCAAGGTGGTATCACCAATGTGATAGCCTAAAGTTTTTCATGTGGGTAGTTATTAAGGTTTAATGCTGTCTAATTAATATTTGTAGGGGGAAGAGCCTGATGAAGATGATGCATATCAGGTATTGTCAACATTGAAGAGAATCACTGCTTTTCATAAGTAAGTTGAATTTTAATATTCTGATATCTTAAAACTAGCAAAATCAAAACCAGTTTGTGTGTTTTAGGGTTATGTTATCACATTCTGCTAGATTTCTTGCACTTTTATATAAAAAGTAGTTGGTAGAATCATGTTTTGAATTGGGGAATGATTGACAAATTATCAAATACCATACTTTTTAAAACATATTTCGTTTTTGTTGCAGGTGCATGTTAAAAAGTTTGCTTTATTTACTTTAACAGCATTTTTGTTAACATTCAAGTCCCAAATCACTCGAAGTGATTAAGCTTAACTTTTAAATATAACTTGTCTTTTGCAGTGCTCATGATCTTTCAAAGTGGGATTTGTTTGCTTGTAATTACAAACTATTGAAAACCGGAATTGAAAATGGAGACATGCCTGAACAGGTTTTTATTTATTTTCAAGTTACATATTTAACTTTGAGAATGAAAACTTGTGACTTTTTCATTTTAACTGTATTCTTTTCTTTTTACAGATTGTTATTCATGCCCTGCAGTGTACTCACTATGTGATCCTTTGGCAGCTTGCAAAGATAACTGAAAGCAGCTCTACAAAGGTTTGTGGTGGTCCTGTGAGGTTCTTACTACGCTCAGTGTCATTAACTGTTTTCAGCACACGTACACATTTAGTAAGATCAGTTATTTCAGTAAAGTGTTGCTTATTTCTAAAGTACCATTTAGGCATGTATACCATTAGAAAGTTTTTTTTGTAGTTTGATATATATTCAGTGAAAGAACATTAATATGTTATGATTCAAGGCATGATTTTAAATTAAAAATTCTTTCATATTTTAAGGTGGCATAGTTTATGTACGTCCATATTCTCAATAGTATTGAGAACATATAGAAATACAGATTTTGTAAATTATGACCAAGAGCCTTTGAAACCAGCATACAGCTATTGGACTATATAAATTGATGATAACAAGCCAGTTGCCCCTAGATCTTCATAGGCCTCAGTATTGTTTTGGGATCACTTTGTTCATACCTAGATCTTTCTATTGATGTTCCAAATTCATGATAAATCACTTTCTGGTTGAGTATAATGTGGCAGCTACAAGGTAGTAGAACTTTCAGAATTTTATCCATAATGGTAATCTTTGATGTGTTCAGTAATTGAACTAAGCAGTACTGCCTCTTTGATTTGTAAACTAGAAGCTTAAGCATTGTACGTGTAGTAGATGTTGCCTTAAGTATTATATAATATTTTTATAAATATTAAGCACTTTCTAGAAGATAGAGACTTAGTTGTTCATAGCTTTTCCCTCAAAAACCATAGTCTTGATAATAAATTTCTTTTGCATAGAATCACAGAATAATTTTAAATGCTTAGAATTTCTCTGAGTTGATAATGCACAAGATGCTGTTATATCCACAAATGGATATTTCCCCCTTGAAAAAACAATTGAGTATTGTTGTTAGTGTACTTTTGTCAAACACGCAAGAAATTTATTTAACTCAATGCCAAGCTTCTAGTAGGAACAGTAGCCATTATAGCAAATATGACTGCTCGTCTAAGTCAAAAGCATTGAATTAAAAATTAAAATGGGAAAGGAGATTATATTTTGAGTAGAGGAAAAGGATAAAAATGAATGTTACTGAATACAAACTTGTTCTGAAGCTTGGTTGAATTTTCTTTACCAAATCAATCTCCAAGTTAAACTTGTTTTTCTTTAACTTTATGGTCTATTACAATATATTCATATTCTGTCATTTGGGATCCAGTATTAGGTGATGGGTCAAGGTTATACCTTCAATTAGTGAGGATGATCTTTGTAGAATAGTTTAATATTTTAAGGTAATTGGTAAATAATTAGGAAAAAAATGTAAGGAAAAGATTTATTTTTATTGTATGTTTATAAGACCTTAATTTTTTTTTAATTGGAGCAATACCACGAAACTGATTTTTGTCCATCTCTGTTTTTAAAAAGTACAACTGGTATACTTCAAGTAAGAAATAAAAGATACCGTCTCTTTTATTATTAATTAATTTCGTCATCAATTGGCTACCCTTCAAATTACAAAACGATGATGGAGCATAAATCTTTACGCATTCTGAGTTAGTAGATTTATAAAGATGGCCATATATAGTCATATAGGTTTTCTACTTTTAAAGGACCCAGACCACTTAGGATATTACCCATTAATATACCTGGTATTTTTAAAGCTGCAATTTGTTGCAAATTTTAAGAAAAATGGTCTAATTTGTCTTTTTCGTTCTGATGAATAGTAAATAAGTAACTCTAATGTACAGAGTTAATATAGTTAAACATATGATATATTTTATGTAATTTGAAGTATCTTAATACATGAGGTTTGTATACAATATCTTAAATTGTTTATGTTGGATTTTTCAAGGAGGACTTGCTGCGTTTAAAGAAACAGATGAGGGTATTCTGTCAGATATGTCAGCATTACCTGACCAACGTGAATACTACTGTTAAGGAGCAGGTTAGTAATTACTGTAGATAGCCATCTTTTGTAAGCAACCTTTACAAATGTCTGAACTAATACAGAAAATTAAAGTAATACTGAGGTTGAGCAAAGTAGAAATGACTTGTATCTGTCCATGTATATGATGCTTAGAAAATAGATTAATGTATTTCATGTGGAATCTGTAAGTTGTATTGTAGATTACCCTCATATTGTAGTTATTCTGTTATTGTTTCTTTATGACTCACATGGTAAACAGACCCATATATACAAATTAGATGCATGAAATTACGTAAGTTATTCTTTTTTAAAAAACTTTATTTCGGGAGAGTTCATGTGAGTGGGTGAGGGTCAGAGAGGGAGAGCCTCCCTCCCCGTGCTGTCAGCACAGAGCCTGAAATGGGGTTCGATCTCACGAAGTGTGAGATCATGACCTGAGCCAAAATGAAGTGTTTTGGACACCTATCCGACTGAGCCACGCAGGCTCCCCTTTGAAATGAACAAGTACAAGTGTGCCTCAGGGAGGAGAATGGGTCCATACGGTTTTTGTCATCTCTGAGAATATTATCAGATAGAGACTGATATTCCTGTTCATCCTGATTGTGTACATTATTTTTCCTTTTGTGGACTTTGAAATAAAAATTTTAATCATTTTCCTGCCTTCAAAGAGTTACCTTCGCACTTCATATGCCCTCATGATTTCATTACTACTATTTACCTCCTCATTCTGGAAATATATATTGTTAAATGCTGCCATAGGTAATTTTCCCATCTGTAAAATGAATTCTGATCCTTGGACTAAGAGCCTGTTTAGTTTTAATTCCCTAGTAGAGGATTAAGGTTTTTTGGACATACGCTTTTTAAATGCTTCTGTGAGGAAGACATTTTCATAATCCTGTTATAAGAAATATTAATGATGATACAGTGAAAATGGTTATTGTGATATCAAGGGTTTTTTTTTTTTTTTTAGCCATTTCATTCTCCTTAACCTTTGCACATTGGGATAGATCCCTAGCAGTCATCACAAGTGCTATTTTCAGCAGTTTGTGTTCTGTTGGGTACTCTTTATTTATTTTTTCATTTTGGGGTATACTGTTCATTTAATTTATAGTGTATTTTTAATTTTTTAATTTTTTCATTTTTTTTAAATTTACACCCAAGTTAGTATATAGTGCAACAATGATTTCAGTAGTAGATTCCTTAGTGCCCCTTACCCGTTTAGCCCCATCTCCCCCCCCGTAACCCTCTGTCTGTTCTCCATATTTAAGAGCCTCTTATGTTTTGTCCCCCTCCCT